TGCCTAAGATTTGAGGATGTCATTAGACACCAATTTTAACCTCAGAACCGCTACTGACCTATTATGCTGCCAAAGGACACATGCATTAGTAGGTAGAGTCCCACAGCGTTCCCTTTCTTTGTGTGGGCTGGAAGTCAGCCTCTTCCTTGTAGGAGACAGACAGACCTCCTTTGTAGGCAGACATCACTTGTCCACCATGTTATTGGTTTGAATCCTGGCTCACTTCTACCTTCCTACCTTTTCACTTGAAAATGGGTTATCTTGTTTGGTAGACAAAAGATGATCAATGAGCCAAAGATAGATAGATAGCCAAAGGAATTGTTGGGTCTATGAAACATTTGTAAATAAAATAATTTGGGCTGTTTGTGAGTTGTGTTTGTGTGTGTGTGTGTGCGCATGCGTGTGCACGCACATGTACAAGTATTGGGTCTTGCAATCAGGGCCTTGTATCCTTGTTTAGCTTTTTCACTCCAGGCTGGTGCTCTATACTTGAGCCACTTGCACATCTAGCTTTTTGCTGATTACTTGGAAATAAGAATTTCATGGTCTCAGGCTGGATTTGAACCTTGATCTTCAGATTTCAGCTTCCTGAGTAGCTAGGATAATAGGCCTGGGCCACTGATTCCCTGGCTAGCATTTCACTCTGCACTTCTGCTGAGGCAAAGAAGAAAGCCATCATTGTAGTGCTCATGCACTTGCCTCAGTATTTTTCATATGGTGGATTTAGATAGGTGGATAAACTTGAATCGCGTTGAATCATGGGTCTTTTAAAATCTCTTAGTAGCAATAATTATGATGACACAGTAAATAGTGACTATAGGTGGCTGGAAGACATTGCTCAAGTGAGAAAGGAGAAAAGTTGTCTTGCAGCCACTCTGCTAGGTTTGTGCTGAGCCGCCCTCTGTCATTTGTGACAGGTCCTTGTTAGCAAATGACAAAACAAAAGACAAAGTGTTTTAACTCTGTTGTTTGACCTTTGGGAATATTTGTTCTTCGGCAAGTTTCCTTCATATCAGGCCATAGGAGTTATGCAACTGTCAAAGAGTGTCCCTTCCATCTGCCGTACTGAGCTGAAATATGGGGATGGTCCTTTCTCAAAAGCTCTTCCTCGCCAGGCACTGGTAGCTTATGCCTGTAATCCTAGCTGCTCAGGAGGCTGAGATCTGAGGATCATGGTTCAAAGCCAGCTCTGGCAGGAAAGTCCATGAGACTCTTATCTCCAATTAACCACCAGAAAACCCGAAATGGTTCTGTGGTAGAGCTCTAGCCTTGAACCGAAGAGCTGAGGGATAGCGCCCAGGCCCAGAGTTCAAAGCCCATGACTGACAAAACAAAAAACAAACAAAAAAAAACCCTCTTCCTTCCTTCCTCTCAATTGATTTTTAGGGAATTTAGGAAAATTCTGTTTCTGAGAAATTTGTGATTTCATCAACTGGACTCTTCAAGAGCCCTTACCAAAGAAATAATGTCTAATCAATTCACGTGTTCCTCCTCTTTAAATGCATTTTGCATTTTCAACTTGGAGGTTAAATAAATAATACCTATTTCCTAATTTATTAACTTCCTCAAAATGGAAATCTGGACTCTGATGAGTAGAGTCTGAATTAGGACTCCAAATGTTTTACTATTTTAGCTGAGTGCTGATGGTTCATGCCTGAAATCCTAGCTTTCCAAGAAGCTGAGATCCAAAGGATTACTGTTTGAATGAAGCCAACCCCAGGAAGAAAATTTTGCCTCCATCTGCAAAATAACCAATAAAAAAGCTAGCCGGGGGCATGGCTTATTTGGTAGCGTGTCAGCCATGTGCAAAAGATTGAGAGCATGAAGCCTTGAGTTCAAGTCCCACTAGAGGGAAAGAAGGGAAGAGAGGGAAGGTGGCAGGCAGGCAGGATCACATCAAATTCACTTCTGGCTGAGAAGGTAACAAGTTTGATATGCAATTGTGTGTACATGTCTGTGGGTATGTGTGTTCACACATTGCTGAATTTGTCAATCCCATACTGGCTGAAGTGTCCCTGCTCAGTAGTGCTCTTTTTTTTGGCTGGTTGTGGGGCTTAAACTCAGGGCCTGGGCACTGTCCCTGAGCCTCTTTGTGCTCAAGGCTAGTGTTTTACCACTTGAGTCACAACACTTCTGGCTTTTTCTGACTTGTTGATTGGAGATGAAAGTCTCACAGATTTTCTTTCCTGCCCGGGCTGACTTCCAACTGCTATCCTCAGATCTCAGCCTCCTGAGTAGCTAGAATTACAGGCGTGAGCCACCAGTGCCCGCTTTAGCAGAGCTCTTAATAGGAAATGTCAACACAGAGACCTGAGCTCAAGGCCCAAGAGTCTCACAGCAGTTCAAGGCAGGTGCAGGGTCAACAGCTGGCCTCTGTTCTAGAACCACTTCCGTTTATGTATGTATGTATGTATGTATGTATGTCGGTCATGGGGCCTGAACTCTGGGTGCTGTCTCTCAGTTCTTCTTCAGTTCAAGGCTAGCACTTTACCACTTGAATGGCAGCACCACTTCTGGCTTTTTTTGCTTATGTGGTGCTGAGGAATCCAACCCAGGGCCTTATACATGCAAGGCAAGCGCTCTACCACTGAGCCACCTTCTCAGCCCCCACTTTCATTTAAATCCAGTCTTTGGATGAGAACTACTAATCATCTGGGTAAACCATCAACATCCACTGGTGCATCACAGAAGGAAAAAAAGGGAAACGTGGCTGGGGACAAATTGATCACTTTTCTGGGTGGACGGAAGAGGGAGAGCAGAACAGAGACTGGAGGAGAAAATTCAAAAGTTTGTTACAATCTGGGACTGGAAACCCAGCTCTCATAAGTCATATTGACAGAAGAGGAAAGATGCCTGTCTGAACCGCAAAATAAAGTAACAAACAAACTTGGATCAATGGCTTTAAGAGATTTCAAAGGTTTGACTACGAATCTGACCAAGGCCTTATTTTTACAAGAAATGCTGGCTCTGCTGAAGGCATTCTCTCTGCCTCTCTGCCCAGAGTTTCAAGATGCCTTGAGCCCAACGCTCTCTGTCTATAGCACGGCTTCTAGGCCCTCATAGAAACTTAGCTTTCCATGTAATATTAGTAACTGAAATCCTTTCCTTACTTAGCTCAGAGTACCTCTCAGTTCACTCAGGAGATCACCCATTCTCTATCCTTAAAAATCCAAACCCATCTGAATACAGCCCAAATAGATCACATTTGTAACTACAAAAATAGATCCAGGAAATCTGTTGAAATTGTTTTGGGAAGTGGGGAAGGGAGACACTGAGGAGATTGAAAGGTAAGATTGATCAGAATATAGTGAATTAACTGGAACACAATAATGTATCTCACCTTGTAGAACTAATGTAAACCAAAAAAAAAAAAAATGTTCTAACACTCTCCTACCAGATAAAGTTGAAGTATGCATACTGTACTCTACAAAAAACCAGGCAATAGGGAACGTGTAATGTTGGCCCTTTGTTGATTATCAGAGAAATGCTGTGTTTCTCTGAATCTAAGTTTCCATAAGATGCATTCAAATCTCAGGCATGTTAAGTGGAGGGCTGCCTTCTATGGTTGACGACCATATGCAGTGAATTCTACAGGAAAAACTCACACTAGATATTGCCATAAAGTTAGTGTTAAAAGGGTTTAACACAGGCGCTGGTGGCTCACACCTATAACCCTAGCTACTTAGGGGGCTGAGACCGTTCAGAGCCAGCCCGGGCAGGAAAGACTATGAGACTCTTATCTCCAATAAACCACTCAGGAAACCAGAAGTGGGGCTGTGGCTCAAGTGGTGAGTGCTAGCCTTGAGCTAAAAAGCTGAGGAACAGCACCCAGGCCCAGAGTTTAAGCCCCAAGGCCAGGGGTGGGGGGAAGAATTTAAACCAAATCATTTCAGCAGAATTATTTTTCTCTCTCTCCCTTCGTGTGCGAGTGTGTGCGTGTGCGTGTGTGTGTGTGTGTGTGCGCGCGCGCGCGCACGTACTGGGGCTTGAACTCAGGACCTGGGTGTCAATTCTGAGCTTTTTTGCTCAAGGCTAGCAGTCTACTACTTGAGCCACAACTTCACTTCCAGCTTTTTTGGTGGTTAACTGGAGATAAGAGTCTCACATACTTTCTCGTTTAGGCAGGCTTTTGTTTTGTTTTGTTTTTTTGGGTCTGGGCCTGGTCTCTGTCCCTCAGCTCTTCAGCTCAAGGCTAGCACTCTACCACTTGAGCCACAGCGCCACTTCTGGCTTTTTTCCTTTTTGCTTATGTGGTGCTGGGGAATCGAACCCAGGGTCTCATGCATGCAAGGCAAGCACTCTACCACCAAGCCACTTTCCCAGCCCCATGTTTAGGCAGGCTTTGAACCATGGTCCTCAGAACTCAGCCTCCTGAGGAGCTAGGATTACAAATGTGAGCCACCAGAGCTCAATTAATTTTTTTTAATCCTACTTATTTGTTTTTATTTTACTTCCAGGCATGGATACTCTGGTGTAGCTTAGCCCTGGCTCCAAACTCTGCATCCTCTGCTTTAGTTGCTAGGATTATGGGTGTGCTCTACCACACCACCCAGCAATTTAGAGCTCTTTAGTGGTAGTAGTACTAAAGGTAGTAGTAGTAGTAGTAATGGGATTTAGACTCTGGGCCTGAGTGCTGTCCCTGTGCATAACAGGTGTTTTATATATTTTTTTAATTTTTTAAGGGAAGTGAGATTAGCTTTTGGTTGTCTCCAGGCCATCTTCACCATCCCTATATTCTTTTTTTTTTTTTTTTTTTGTCGGTTGTGGGCCTGAATTCTGGGTCTGGGCGCTGTCCCTTAGCTCTTCAGCTCAAGGCAAGCTTTCTACCACTTGAGCCATAGCACCACTTCCGGCTTTTTCTGTTTATATGGTGCTGAGGAATTGAACCCAGGGCCTCATGCATGCAAGGCAAGCGCTCTACCACTGAGCCACCTTCCCAGCCCACCATCCCTATATTCTTGTTCATTTGTACCACAGTGAAGCTAAAGCCCCTGACTTACCAGACCTCCTCAAGGAGCCAAGGACCCGCGGACTGCTGCTGGGGGACCTGGTGCAAGCTGTCTTAATTCTTTCGGTACCCGAGCTGTGAAATGGAAACGATAACACAGTGACCCCAAGTCAGTCATTAAAAACCACCGAATGGACGGGGGAGAGGGGAGAAACGTGGTGTTCCGCTATTACTGCGTAAATCTGTGCTGGCATAGAATCACAAGGAAAGCTAGAAGACGGGGCACTGGAGGAACTTCCCGCTGGCCCATACACGATTGAAGGAAGGAGGTCACATCTTCCCTCCTCCCTGCCCCCCAGTTTTGCAAGGCTCCTCAGATTCATATGAGCTAAATGGCGTTCAAGAAAATCTTCCTCTGGGCTGGGAACGTGGCTCAGTGGTAGAGTGCTTGCCTTGAGCTGAAGAGCTGAGGGACAGTGCCCAGGCCCAGAGTTCAGGCCCCAGGACTGGACCCAAAAAAAAAAAAAAAGAAAATCTTCCTCTGCCAGGGAAGGAGGAACACACAGGAAGTGCCCACAGCCCCCCTAATGGCAAACTCTGCTCTGCTGGCCTGCTCGCTGGATGATCCTGGGCATTGGACACAACCTCTCTGAGCCTCTTGTTTCCCCTATCAGATGAGCCCAACATGATCCAGCTACGAAGAGACTCCATAAGGACTGTACTCTGGGAGCCTGGCACCAATAAAATTCTCAGTGAAGGGCAAGTCATGATTACTAGATTCATTTGAAATTCTTTCAACACGGGCATGTTACACTGTAGTGTTTGAGAGTAAATCATCAAACACTGGTGTGTGTGTGTGTGTGTGTGTGTGTGTGTGTGTGTGTGCACACATGCATGTGTCAGTATAGGGGCTTGAATTCAAGGTTTCTGGACCTCACTTGGCTTTTTCAGTCAAAGAAAACACTCTACCACTTGAGCCATTTCCCTGGTTAACTAGAGAGAAAAGTCTCTTGGATTTGTCTGCCTGGGCTGGCTTTGAACCTGGATCCTCATTTCTCCATCTCCTGAGTAGCTAGGATTATAGGCGTGAGCCACCTGCACCAGGCTAAACATGGTTTTATGTATTCTCAGTAGCGATTGTACCCGTCACAGCTGGCCTTTCTGCCCAGATACAAATAAGATGTCTTAACGGCTCAACTCCAGGGCTTTTAACTAGCTAGCTTCTCAACAACTGGTTTTATTGTAGTATAACTTTACCAAGAATGAGTCAAACTAGGCTGAGAGTCCCTTCATACCCCCACCATGCAAGTTCATGAGCTACCTTACTAGGTAAGAGACTACTGAGTTAGGATCCTACTAAGTAATCATTTGTTCCAAAGTTCTCCCCAACCCAATGGTCAAGTTAACTAAGCTTGAGCTTTTGATTAACATACAGTGCTCAAAGGAACTTTGACCCCCAGAAACCTGGCTTTGCCTGGCTTCTGAGTCCGCCCTGTATCGTGAGTGCCCATTTGAAGGGTAATAAAAGACCCAACTGTTTGCCTATGGCAAATGGAGGTGGGGCCAAGAGCATTACACAGCTTTTATCTCTGTTCTCCTCAGAACCTTGGCAAAGGACTGTAGCCCACAGAATACACTGAAATGCACCCCAGTTCTACCTGGCATTTTGAAACATCAGTTCCTGAAGAACTAAGGCACTGGTAGCTCAGGCCTGCAATCCCTGCTGCTCAGGAGGCTGAGATCTGAGGTCTACAGTTTGAGGCCTGCTTGGGCAAGCAAGTCTGTGGGAGCAACAGAAAGTCAGAAGGGGAGAGCCAGCTCACGTAGCAGAGTGCCAGCCTTGAGTGAATATGCTAAGGGACAGTGCACAGGCCCTGAGTTCAAGTTCCAGTACTGGCCCCAAACAAAACAACAACAAAAGAAAAATGTTATGCTCTGAAGATCAGTGAACAGATTGGAGGTGGAGCGTGTTATAACCAGCCAGATGTGACCATGGGGAATACACTGCTCGCCCACGGTTCTTGGCTCCCTGGGATTGTGGCATTACATATAAAACTGGAGTCAGACACAAGCCGGCAACCACAGAAGCTAAGAGGACAAGGGCCTGCCTACTCTGGGACCAACATTGCCTGCTTCTGTCACAAATGCACAAGCGACAACCCTCCCCATCTCAGAGGTGACCCTGTTTACAGACGGAGTCTTCAAAGAGGTGGTTAAGGTTAACTGAGGTCACTGGGGCAGCCCTAATGCAATATGGCCGCCGTCCTTATAAGAAGAGTGTATTAGGACACTGACCATGGGTGGCCAGGCGTAGGCAGGGTAACAAGATAGCCATCTACAGGCCAAAAAGAGACTACAGAAAAATCAGCCCTGCTCACAGTCCCCCACCCCCATCCCTGGTACCAAAGTTTAAACTCAGGGCTTCATGCTTGCCCTGCTTGCTTGACTGCTTGGCTGGTGTTTTACCACTCGAGTTGTGCCTTCAGCTTATTTAGCTTTTTGTTACCTAATTGGAAATAAAATCTTAGACTTTTTCTTTTTCTTTTTTTTTTGGGGGGGGGGATCTAGTCGTGGGGCCTGAACTCTGGGCCTGGGCGCTGTCCCTCAGCTCTTCAGCTCAAGGCTAGCGCTCTACCACTTGAGCCATAGCACCATTTCCGGCTTATTTCTTTTTGCTTATGTGGTGCTGGGGAATGGAACCCAGGGCCTCAGGCATGCAAGGCAAGCGCTCTACCACTGAGCCAACTTCCCAGCCCAAATCTTAGACTTTTTCTGCCTCGGGTAGCTTAGAACCAAGATCTTCAGATCGCAGCCTGAGTAGTTAGGATTACAGGAACCCGAAAACCGGCTGTCACCCTAATATGGGATTTGAAGCTTGCACAAGTTTCAGAAAAATACATATCTAGTGTCAAAGCCCCCAGTCTATAGTATGTTGTTCTGACAGCCAAAGCAAACTTCCTTCCTAGATTCCTCAGCCTTATGCCTCAGGACAAACTTGCAAAGCAGGCTAAAAGTACGATTAAAGGAGGAGTGTGGTGGTAGGAGCTGGGAGGACAAACCTAGAGACCATAATACAAAATGTGGCTGTGGCTTCAGTGTGCAACCTGTAGGCTAAAGCGTCATATTTGGGACACTTAAACACATCACCACTACTCAAGTATGCTCACATACATATACTAGGGAGGTGGGTGAGTTCAAGGTAAGTCTGGACTATGTAGTGAGACCTGGCCTCAAAGAAACTCATAACATCAAACGGAGTCTTGAAAACAAGAATCCACTTTTCATGTTTTTCACAAATATTAATTGAACACCTACTGCAGGCCAGGCTCTATGCCAGGTGCCAGAATAAGACTTGTGACTACAATGGATGAATTGGCTGCTCTCAAGGGACTTTTGGTTGGACGGTGAGCTCAGGGACTGAGCTAGGCTGGACAAACCATGTTGAAATGACAAAGTCACTGCTCTCTAGGAGGCCCAGATTAGTGGGACAGAGTTGGAACAAGACCATACCAAACATGGTGACCGTGGACATTGCACACAAGGAGCAATGACACCTGGGAAATGGACCTCCAAGTCTGTCTGGACTGATCAAGGCAGATGTGAGCCAAGTCCTACAGGACAGTGACTCTGCCCTGGAGCCAGGGATGAGGGAGAAGAAGAGGACATTTTCCAGACAGAAGGAAGGGGCAGTTCCTGGATGCAAGGACAAGGAGAGAAGGGCGCTGGGTTGGACAGAGGCAGACTGAGCAAGGAGCCGGGCAGGAAGTGGAGTTCACACCAGATTGCACAGGAGGCACTGGAAAATTTAACCAGGAAAGGGGCATTCCAAAAATCCCAGGCTAAAAGGAGCACTTTGACCCCACTGCAGAGCAGGCTCAGGGCATGAAAACCAGTCAGGAGAAGACAGAGGGGTTCTAGGGTCACAGACACAGAGATGCCAGCCAGGGATGCAGAACTGAAATGCTCCTGGTGTTCAGCCATGGCCTTGGGTGACGATGCCCAAGGGCACTGAGCGCAGAAGACAAACAAGCACAGGGCTTTTCAACCTGGAAGCTCCTTTGATCACTCAGAGAATGCATTTCTTCTCTCCCCCTCCCCCCTTCCACTCCCCACCCCCCACATCTCTCTCTCTTTGCCAGTCCTGGGCTTTGAACTCAAGGCCTGGGCTATGTCCCTGAGCCTCTCTGTGCTCAAGGCTAGCGCTCTACCACTTGATTGACAGTGCCACTTCCAGCTTTTTCTGCTTATGTGGTACTGAGGAATGGAACCCAGGCTTCCTAGACAAGCACGCTACCACTAAGGCACATTCCCAGCCCTCCCTTTCTCTTTTTAATTTTTTTTTTTTTTGTGGCAGTCTTGGGGCTTAAACTCAAGACTCGATGCTATCCCTCAGCATTTTTGCTCAAGGCTAGTGCTCTACCACTTGAACCACAGCTCTACCTCCTGTTTTTTGCTGGTTAATTGGGGGTAAGAATCTCATGGACTTTCCTGCCTAGGCAGATTTTGAACTGTGATCCTCAGATCTCAGTCACTTGAGTAGCTAGGATTACATGGGTGAGCCACACAAAGTTCTGTTTGTGTGTGTGTGTGTGTGTGCACGTGGGCCAATTCTGGGACTTGACCTCAGGGCCTGGGAGCTGTTCTTGAGTTTTTTTTTTCACCCCTCAAAGCTAGTGATCTACCACTTGAGCTACAACTCCATTTCTAACTTGTTTTGGTAGTTAATTAGAGATAAAAGTCTCAAGGATTTTCTTTCCCGAGCTGGCTTTGAATCACAATCCTTAATCTCAGCCTCCTGAGTAGTTAGGATTACAAATATGAACCCAAATGCATTTTTTATTTTTATTTTTTTATTTTTTTGGGGGGAGGTCCGGTTGTGGGGCCTGAACTCTGGGCCTGGGCGCTGTCCCTCAGCTCTTCAGCTCAAGGCTAGCACTCTACCACATGAGCCACAGCACCATTTCCAGCATTTTTCTTTTTGCTTATGTGGTGCTGAGGAATCGAACCCAGGGCCTCGAGCATGCAAGGCAAGCACTCTACCACTGAGCCACCTTCCCAGTCCCAAATGCATTTTTTTTTTGTCGGTCATGGGGCTTGAACTCTGGGCTTGGGCGCTGTCCCTCAGCTCTTCAGCT